TACCAACGAAGACATTGCACCCTTAAGGAGGGGTGGATTGTGAGATCCCACATTGGTGAAGAGAGAAACAAAACATTCCTTACAAAGTTGTAGAAACCTCTCCCAAGCAAACACGTTTTAAAACTTTGAGCGGAAGTCCAAAAGAGAAAGCTCAAAGAGAATAATATCTATTTGCGGTGAATTTAAGCTATTACAATACTCCTTAATAACTGTATACGGATAGATAGGACAAAATTTCAAAATCTAGACTATAAAAATACAATCTCTAAGTTAAAGCATCGCCTAACGGAATGGATTAGGTTTGGTTGAATAATGAAGAGGGCCATGACTGAAACTGGCAAACAGGCAGAAGCCACAATACCCCTAACATGTTTGGTACAAGTGATAAGCATTGATTATATTCATATTCTATTGTTGTTTTGATTGTATTAAATATGTTAATCAATACCATAGAGTTATACAAACCATTTCTCACATTGACCAACCTACCCACTCACCAACCTATGCCTTTTGGTTGCATTTTGTAGCTATGTAATTTAACAATAATTGAGTTGTGGCAGATGCATCCCACTGGCCTTGCTAGCCATACAGGATCCTCTCTTCTTCTAATTGGCTTAACATAATAGTGACAATCAAGTCATCACTCCTAGCCTTAGAAAAATGGAGTCAGCCTACACTTTCTTGAATGGTCCAACTTACAGAAAGAAGCTGTCCTATGATTTTCTGTCCTCATGCTAGCTGTGTAATAACTTAAGCAAATATTGTCCGTTTGATCTTTATATATTGTCATTAGCCTAAATGTATTTATTAGAAAGATGTTTCCACACCCTTATAAGAAATGCGTCGTTCTCCTCTCCAATCGATTTTGGATCTCACAATCCATCTCTCTTAGGAGCCAGTATCTACACACCGCCCTATGCCTGACTCTGATACCATTTGTAATAGGCTAAACCCATCGTTAGCAGATATTGTTCAATTTGACACGTTACGTATCGCCGTCAGTCTCATGGTTTTAAAATGAGTCTGCGAGAGAGAGAGGTTTTCACATATTTATATGGAATGTTTCATTCAAACTCGAACTCTACCACTAAAGTAGAAATGTAACCTTATACTTTACTTGGAGTGGAGTGGTGCTTAAGTCTATGATCTTATACTTCAGAAATGTAATATCTTTATTAAAAGACACGGCTAAAGAGTTACCTTTTGTAACCTTATAATGACCTGGGGAGGAGTAAAACCAAAGAATTTGACCATTTACAAAAGCACAAAAATATCAAATGCCTGTGAAGGGGATAAAGTAAACAACCAAAAGCAGGCTGCTTTTTGGGTTAGAGAGAGAGAGAGAGAGGGGGTGAGAGGTGAGGTGATCATTCTTGCCCAAATCAAGACAATTAGTAGTAGGGTCATTCCTTTATTTGAATCTAATCATAGCCATTTGAGGCATGGCATCTCTCTCCTCGAAACCCAGAGGGGCACGTGAAGATTACTGAAAAAGTCTTTTAAAAGAACAACTTGAAACGGCCTATAATCATCAGCTTTTGTCGCAAGATTAAAATTTCCTTTCAACTTAATCAAAGCTTTAATGAATAGTGACAACTCAAAGAGATGATTCTGTAGCACAAGTCCAATCTGTTCCCCTCCTGAAATCATAAGGCTGCAAGTTTTTCTGGTTCACTCAAAGGATGTGTCCAAGCTAAGCATTTTAAGCAGTTTACCATTCCAATTGATTGCTTTACAGTTTCATGCAAGTGAGGGCTAACATCTGTCAGTATATTCATAAAAGTTCTTAAAGAAGGCTCATTCAGGCATTTCATCAAACACCTTCAGGTCACTAACTCAATCCGATCAAAACAAGCTCAACTACTTCACCAGTGACAACAAATTCACAGAGGCATTCAAGCAAACAGGTAGAGGGCAACATACTCAAATCACAAATGGGTTGAATAATTAAAGCATATAAAACACTTGAGTTTGATTGACTGACCACTTTTAGGCTTTCCATTTTGAAATGGGCGAGCGATTGAGCGAGCCAGTGTAGGATAGGGGCTTGATTCTGATACCCACTTCATGGTGTGGGATTTGGATGAAAGTGAAGGGAATTTGTCGAAGAAGACGGGGAGAAGACGTCAAATCTGGGAAAAGCTGCGGGTTGACTGGGAGAAATGCTGTTTAAGTGAGATTGAATTGAACCCGGAATTCAAGCAGTGGAACAGGTGACGAAAAGCATCACTTTCAATGGCGTTTTTCCCATAATAATAATAATCTAAGAAAACAAATTGTAATGATCTAACAATCCGCTCCTGTTACTCCACCGCTCCGCTGCAGAAACATATGAAAATATTGGGTCCGTGATCCGCGGGACTGCCCATAATGGAAGTTCGTAAAATATCAAATCGAATGTCTTTTAACATTTTTAAAAATATATATATGGGATTCATTTCCATTTCCACTGTAACAAAGAACAAACGAATTAAATTTTTAGTAATCTTTACAAAAACAACTATATTTTTGTTCTTCCTTTAATTAAAATTTTAATTTGTCGTGTTTAGTGATTAAGTATAACTTAATTATTATTATTATTTTTTTAAAAAAATGAATTTAGGATACTATTAGTAGTAGTATTTGGATGGTGGGAGATGGGAGCATGAAGGACACGTGGCGTAAAGAGAGAATTGGATTTTATTCCGGGAGTGTGTTAGCGTATCCTTAGAACCAAACAGAGGTGGTGCCTCAGCAGCATTAAATGCAGTCTCAGGCTGTGTCAGCCACCAATCGTGCAACAGTCTGTAAAACTTTCCACAACTTACCCCTATTAATTTTAATTCTTTTCTCTCCTAATAATTTGGTTAAATCAATATTTTTAATCATTAAATTATTTTTTTAAAAATACCTTTAAAATATTTTTTTTTCTTAAAAATAAAAAATAATTTTACCTTGATCTCACGTCTAAAAAATATACATAAATTTTTAAAAATAACATTAAAAAATTGTTCGTAAATATAAATTTTTCTAAAAGAAGTTAATGTCAAATGCCATTTCTAAAATTTTACCAGTAATTTTAAAAATAAAATTGATTTAAAATTAGCTATTTCTTAAAAATTAATTTTTTTTATTGAAACCTTAAAAAAAAAAAAAAATATTATGAATATTTTTATTAATTTAGTTTAAATATATATTAATGATTTCGAACCTTTCAAAATTAAAAATTAATTTCCATAAAAGTGGTCTTTCTTATGACATTAATTTTCTTTAATTTTAATAATTAATATTGGGATCAAAATGTTGATATTAAAAATGAAACAAATATAATTTAACCTTTTAAAATAAACATTGAAGAGGTAAATATAAGATAAAAAAGGATAAATTATTAAATAATGGAGAATGGGGTGAGATCAGGTGGGTGTGGGTGTAGGGAATGATAAGGTGCACCACTCATAGGGAATTGATGAAAAACAGACAAGTACCTGAGTGAAAAATTAGGTAGGACCCACACCAATCAGTGGGTTTTTTCCCCTAAAATTTAAAATAATAATTATATATTATTTAAAAAAAACGTGTGGGGCCTACTCGAGGCTTCATCATGATCATCATGTGACATATCCAGCACTCGATTGGGAACCGATTTCGAGTCTGGCTTGCTTCCGTCCTTTTCTTTTTTCCTCACAATATCCAAAAAATACAAAATAATTTAAAAAAAAAAAAGAAAAAGAAAATAGACAGGACACGTACCAGAATTCGTGTCAACGCCGTTAGATTTTCCAGATTATATATAAAATATAAAATAAATCAATTTACAAAAAAAGCTTTGTTCTTCTTTCATCTGTTTGTTTGTATCCCTTGTCCCGAACTGGAATTCCACACTATCCCTGTTACCAAACATGTGGAAAGAGCTTTGTTCATTTACTTAAAATCTTATCGGATTAAAAAAATTAAAACTTTATTCATCTATATTATTTACAAAATAAAATTTTAATTTCAAATGGACAATGTGCCCACCAGTTACCACTGGGTATGGGTATGGGTATGGGTATGGGTATATGGGTATGGGAGCATGAGATAATTATTAAAATATAAAATAGAATTAATTAAATAAGGTAAATAAAGAGGGTTAAAATGGGAAGAATAAATAGGAAAAAAAAAAGAAAAGAAAAGAAATGGGAATTTATGAGTCCCCATTCACGATTTTCTTTTATTGTTGTTCATATAACATATAAACACTTATAAACATGGCGTTCCCCAAAAAAAAAAAAAAAAAAAAAAAAAAAAAA